ATACATATATCTTTACATTTGTCAATGTAATGCTTTTAAGAATTTTTTTCAAATCAGAATGAACCAGAATATGAATGAACAATTCTTTTGCAATAGAATTCTATACCTCTGTGGTTGTTTCGGCACAAACGTGGTTTACGTACAAGATACAAGGTATGTAAATTAAAAGCCAGCAAATTATGGAGATCAGTTCTCGCAAAAGCTCATTGGTTGATAGATCCAGCGATACGATTCTATACAATATGTAGAGGAAAATAGTGGTGAATATAACCGATATGATCATCAGCAGTAAAACTTGTACTCCAAAAGTATCATTCACAACTTTCACGATCTTGATTATCTCTAGATGTATTTGCCTTTGAAAAAATGAACAAATAATTGAATGAATTAAGAATCAAGTAATCATTGAATTAATTAAGAAAACTATTTATTACGCACTCTTCGTTTTGAAAAATTTATATTGTCTTTCTCGTGAGTTTTCATTCTTGATTCATTTGAAATTTAACACTACTTTTTCATTACTTTTCATTCTAATTAATCGAATTTACTATTCGTTTAAAGTTTAAAGTGTAAATTCCAAGAAATTCGAAATAATAATAATATCCATTGTATCATGAAATTTTGTACTATGTTGCAATCGAACAATTTGGTAGAAATATTTTCTAAATATCTCGAATAAAAAGTTCTCTTCGAAAATTTTCTACGATTTGCATAAAAATGTATAAAAATGCATAAAAATAAATTTTTTACGATCCTCTTCCTTTCCTTATCATTTCAAATATTTTCATACTTGATAACATAAAATTCTAACTCTATTCAGCCTCTTATCGTATGAGACTGAATACAATACGATAAGTGTAATATAAAACAACGTAGAGAACGGAAATGCGTCGCAGAATCTTACTTTACTGATCTCATTTTGTTCGTATTTCCGCTGCTTTCTGGCATATTCGTAAACGACGAGAGTCTCTTGTTCTCGAAATCGTTGTTCATTTTGGGAAATCTTTCATGCAATGGCGATTCTGATGTCAGCATACTAAGAAGCAACTGATTCAGTTGACAAAATTTCAGCTTCATGCACCTACATACATATATTTTTCTTACATTTTTTACTGTTTGTTTCATTAAAATATTATTACAGTAGAATTCTATTTACTGAATTGATTGCACAATGAACAATTCATAACATAACATAACGATTGATTTTTCGTTCATATAATAGGAATGCGTGTTCAGATACGCATAGATAACACTATGCACAAAATTATTTGGACATCTGATATAATTTAATCAAAAGATTAATGATTTTTGATTAAAAAATACCTCAATAATTAGAATAAATTAATTAGACTTATGGACAGAATAAGAATAAGTCAATAAGAACTCATTCGTTTAATCGAGCACCAATTAAAATTTCATTCTCATAAATGGAATTCTACCGTATTTAACGCTAGAACTTTCCGACGACTAGGATATTAAACTGTGAGGAAAATTCAAGTATAAGAGGTAGGAAAAAGTTCACGATATATAACAATAAAGAACACAAGGATTTCTTAATAAATTTTATGAAAAGTTACTCGAATTTTTAATGTACTGTTCGTAAATTAAAAAAATTCTTTATAATATTTATAAAACTTGTATTTATAAAATTATAATATTTGTAATTCATAAAATTTGTAGCAAAAATTACGGATTGATCGTTCTGAACGACACTTGTCTCGTTAAAAGCCAACATTACGTTAGCTATCGGCACTTCATTAAAAATTTGTTCAGTCAATTTACACACATCATCGAATTCTCTTTTTTAAGATAGGAAACTATGAAAACAGATTCGCCTAATGTCTTTTTCATTATTACTTCTTTCATTTGAATACTGTGCGAATGTATGAGATTTAAAAAAAATTGAAGCGCTCACAACATTGTGACAAATCATTACTTAATCCTTAATGGGTTAAACTAGTTCTAAGTTCTAAGTAATTCTAGCGTTAGAAATTCATCGTATTGTTCTTGAATGATTAGTTTCATACGTGACCCAGAAGCAGAATGAAATGATAGAAACGTAGATAACCGCGAAAGGCACGTAGGATAAAAAGGTAAGGTAGAATTTCATCAATTTCCCTGTCGATTCTTGGAACTGCCAAGTGTAAATCACTGCGAGGAAAAATACTGTGAAAATTCCGTAAATTACGAATCCTTTGATCTGATAGACGAACAGCGCGTGATATATTTGTGGCAATCCCATTTTCTCCATTATTCGATCGTTCGATTCTACAAGCACGACCACCGTACGTAAATTCTAGAAGATGAAAGAAACATTAAAATTACAGAGAGAAATCAATTCTTTTCATACGATATAGGAATTTCAGACCTTTAAGATTACCAAACATTTAAGATTACTATTTTTTTCTTTTTGTTTACGTTAAAAGATTAATAATAAGTTAAAGAACTGAAATTAAATGTTTTGTTATTATTTGATGAATTATTGTTTAAAGTAGTTGCAAATAATATCAATAATATATTATATAATAGATTTATAATATATATAATAATATAATATACATATGTCGCATATAATGTATACAATATATATAGTAGCCTTCAGACGTTAATAGAGACGTAATAGAGAATTTCTAGGAGCTAAATTCTGTTCTCTCGAAGAACGAAAGAATTCGAGAATCAAATAAAAATACATTATATAAAAGTACGTGAAATAAATTATCAAATTTTCAACGTGCTGATTTTAAGATTGTTCTGCCGTGACATTCGAAAAATATTCGAGAAGCGTTTAAATCACCTGTGCGTTTATTCTGTTGACGACAGCCAGTATGCATATCATCAAAAGATCCGCGTAAATCAGTGTTTCGAATATGATTTTGTTTAAGGCGAAAGTGCTGATTATATAATATTTTTTGTAATACGGTAACATGAATTTACCAATCGTGCCAATTAATATCAAAACACACACGGTATACGCGTATTCGATAAATCTCGGAGGTTTCTTTCTAAGACTGACGCCCATCCCGAACAGGAAATTCATCGCGAACAACGGCTCGATAGCTTGCCTGATAGTTTTCGGCTCGAACATCGCGAGTTAAGAGAGAAAGCGAACACTAGATGAACTTCGACAACTCTACTTCCTTTCTGCCCGCCTTTTTACTGTTTTCTGAACAGTTTTTTACAGATCATTATCGTCACGGATATTAGATAGGCTGCTAAGTAATGGACAAGCACAACAATTGCTTGGCGATGTGTGGATCGATATCGCTACGACGATGAAATTTTTATCGGAAACAGCTAATGACAAAAGACCATGAGATGGAAGCGTGCACTGTATATGATTATTATTACTGCAAAAAGAGAGAGTTTTATTTCTGGGAAGGTCAAGGACATGGATTACCTTGGAGTTCGAACTTCGAACGTTTTACTCTGAGTTTTTAATAACGTGAATTACAGAGAAGAATGCAATAACTGAAGAATTGTCAATATTTTAAATTGCTACAACAGTTTTGTAAAAACAAATTTTAACTTAGAAAGCGTGAGAACTCTACTTTGAGTTTGTTCTTTTCACGTAGCGGGTGGGAAATTTTATTCACGTAAAAATTTGGAGTTATTATATAATTAGTTTATATATCTTTGATCGTATTAAATTATTTATAACATAATCTTTTATGATTTAAGTACTCTTACTCTTGCAATGTTATTTGCATCTCTTCTAGTATCTATGTATCGATTTATAAAAAAATTTTGAAGCCCCGGTAAGTA